AGCAGGGCGCCTTCGTCCACAATCCCTCCCCGGGCACAGTTTACCACGCGCACCCCCTTCTTGCACTGGGCGAAGGTGCTGTCGTTCAACAAGCCTGGAAGGGGGGGAAGAGGTTTCTTGCATCGATGGTGCCAGGATCTCGGAGACTCGGCTCCGGCTCCAAACCCTCCCTGCCCCACAGGCCTTCCTCCTGCAGGACAACAGCCTCTCTGGTCTCACCTCTCCCTTCTCAGATGCTCTGGGACACAAGTCTTTGTGCCAGATTTGGGCCAGACTCAGCTTAGAAACACCCTAGAAGTCCCTGAGATATTACTGCTTCGGGTGCGTTCTCAAATTACAGACGCCTGCAGTGGCCCTAGCAAGTACCCAGGGGGCACTGCGCATACGCACTGGCCCAGCTTACCCAGACCCCCCGCACCTTCCCAGATGGCTCACCCCACCCCCATGTAATGCAGGGCATCAAACAAAGCATCACCATGTTGATGCTGGCAGACCTGGCAGGGCCCTCCCCAGAGCTGGTCACCAGCGTCTGTGGAAGCCCCGGCATGGGGGCCCACTCTTATCTGGTCTGTGGCTTCTACGGCCAACCCACAAGGTAGGGAGGGACACACCTACCTGTGGTGGAGGGCAGGAGAGGGGTGTGCACAGTGATGAAGTCACAGAGAGGCCAGATCTCCTCCAGGGGCAGCTGCTGAACACCGAAGGAGGCCGAGACCTCTGGCGAAATGATGGGGTCATACCCTACAGTCTGCTCAGAAGCGAGAAGAGGGGAATGTAATCATTATTAATTGTTAGTATTGGTACTACCAATAATGGTGACCTTTATTGAGCATTTACCATATACCAAGCACTATGCTGACAGCAGTTTACTTCTCATGGCAATACGATGGGGTTGGTGCTATTCTTCTTTCTACTTTAGAGCTGAAAGCAGTGGGGCTTACACGCTAGGAGGGGCCAGGGCCAGGGTTGAAAGGCTAGCTTGTCTGCCTCCAAAGCCCTTGGGGAGTGGGAGCCCACAGGAGGGAGGAGGATCATGTGTCACAGGAGGACTGTGACACAGTCGTGGGGTACAACCAGGAAAGGGAGAGGCTGGCTGCAGCTGGAGGACCTGCAGGGCCAGAAAACCAGCAGGTGCATTGAACACTTCAACAGAGTGAGGGAGGCGGCAGTGGTGGTGCCGAGCAGGGCTGGGACTGTGACAAGGATTCCTCATCGGGAAAGGGGGTGAAATACCCGCTGCCACCAGTGGGGAGGCTATGGTCCCCTTTCTTGAAGTTTCTTCTAGTAAGGTCTAAATTGCATCCAGTGTTGGGAAGCATAGCATGGTAACTAATCATGGGGCAGTATAAATGACTAACGGCAGATCCTTTCAACAAGGCAGGGATGACTGGAGTGGGGAATTAGAACATCAAGAGGAGGAAAGTGAGATATCCAGGCACCGTGGATGGGGAAGAACCCAGGAAGAGCCTTGGTCTAGGGAGGAGGGGGGCCCCCAAAGCACAGGGGCCTCTCTGAGGCTGTTGAGAAGGAAGGAAGGTTCGCTCCTGAGAGATGGGGGCAGGCAGTCAACTCAGGGCGTGAACATCATCAACCTCATGAAATTGACCAAAGATCATCACGTATTGGTGACCAGAAGAAGGAAAGTTTAAGACAACGCTCAGAGGAAGGAGAGGCTAGGTAGTCATAGCTGACAGTGGCAAACGTTTATTTAGCATTTACTATGTATCACATGTTTTCATCTAACTCATGGTACTGTTATTTCCCCATTTTACAGACAAGGAAACTAAGGCAGAGAGGTTAACTGGTTCAGCCAAGATCAAACAAATGACAAGTCACACAGTTGGGACACAAATTAGTATTCTGACCACGGAGTCTGCACTCCTACTGCCCAACCTGAGCAAAAAGGGGTAGAGTGAGATGAAAACATCTCCTCTCCTTCATCAGAAACAGTCTTGGGTGCCAGTCACACATCTCTCAGAATGGCTATGCTTTAAAGGTTACCAAGCCAGCACAAGCCTCTTGGAAGGATCTGCAGCCAGGTGTGAAGTATCTACCTCTTGCAAACACCTACCCAGTAGGCCTTCCCAGAGCTCTCTCCATGAGTTAAACCCATGTCAGCAACATGGGGGGAAAGAGCTGTTGGAACCGTAAGAATCTTCAAATGCATCGATGTCCTCAAGAAGGCAGGGCAGCCAACTGACCCAGGCAGGTCTGCAGGACCCAAGATAGGGCTTCTGAGTCAGGAGACCCAAGTCCTGCCTCAGTCACTGTCAAGCTGTGTGTCCAGCTTCACATCAGCGCCCTCTGGACAGGGTCCTCAGTCCTCTGTAAAGAAGCTGAGTGGATGATTTCAAGGTCACCCCCTGCTCTAGCTTTTAATAATGCACTATTCCTTGAAAAGAAAGTTCCCTTACGCCTGAGCGGAGATGTTCAGAGCTGGCCCAGGATTAAACAAACAGAAATAACACAAAGCATAATACTTTCACTCTGGGTGGTGGAGTTAATTTTCTTGATGCTTTCTGATGCGTTTTAACTCTTCCCCTCATCATGAATTTCTCCTGAAATTAGGGAAACTAGAAAAGAATGGCAAAGAAGATTGCTGTATCCAAGTCAGCGTTTCTACAGAACAAACTAAAAATGATTATGAATGAGGAGGACCTTTTGGATCACCTTCTCCATCGCCTTGTAGAGCAAGGAAGGCCAAGTGGGCCCCACCCAACCATCGGGGGAGGTGTTGGGGAAAGGTGTGCCTCCCCCATGCCCTGTAGGATCACCCGCTTGTGCCCACATGGCCATCCCCTCAGATACAAGCTACTCGTTTCTGTGGGGAGTGCGCAATGTCCGGGAGGAGAGAGAACTCGGCCCTTGCTCTCACAAGTCTTCATTGTCCACCGGCTCCGAGGCTGGCTGAAACAATGGCCCCGTTCATCTCTAATCCAGATGTACTTTTCTCACGGGGAGGGGGGAGAGGAAGGGGACCCCAACAGAGTCACAAAGCCAAGCCTGATGGAGCGCCCCTGGAATCTCAGATGCCAAGAAACAGCATGGGGCTGCCTGAAGGACAGGTCCCGCAGGCGGAGCCTGGCCTGGTGCCCCCACAGAAGGCACCTGGGGCTGAAAGGGGGAGAACGGAGAGAGGAAATCATCATCTTCAGCAGCCATCAACAGGCCCTGACTCAGCTTTCCGTCAGAGGCAGTATCTCGTTCATCTGCAGACAACTGCAGGGAAAGAATTTGACCAAGAAAACCCATCCTCCTTCACCACAGACACTCAGGGCAGACAGGAGCGGAACCTCAGCTAGGAGTCGGGGTCCTTACATCCAGAGACCATGTTGCAGGGAGCTGGAAGGGTGACATTGAGACCAATGCCTGAGCAGGGTTCTGCAGTGTCCTGGAAAGGTCAGATGTCCAAATGCAAAGAAGTTGGAACAATTTTGGGTACACATCATCCAAAGGTTAGTCATTCCTAGACAGGAGTCAAGGGAAGATGCACAAAGGGCTTCCCCATCTCAACCCCAGCCCCAGGACAGACTCCTGAGGTTGGGGCAACAAAGGAACCCCAGCTTTTCCAGCAGCACTCCAGGGCGACCTCCTAGCAGCGTCATAGGAGGCAGCCTTGGGAGGCTGGTCAGGCCTGTTCCAGGTCCTGTGGCTCAGCCGTGGGCGGAGGAGAGGAAGGCCGCCTTCGAGAGAAAGGGGCTCCAACAAAAGACCCCCGACAGCCAAATTTGGGGACTTAGCAAATTTGGAAGTCTTCCCCCAACAATGAATCTTAAACAGAAGCTCAATATACCACCACATCAATTCAAAGCGGCAGCGTGAAGGTCAGAGCCCTCCCTTCTGCGTCTTCCTGGGCCCCCTCCCTCTGTCCCTAAGGCAGCTTTCTAGAACCTGAGGCTCTGGGAAGAATTTGAAATTCACTGCTCAAGGGCTGTAAGAATTCCAGTTATCAGATTGAAACAGGAGGGCTTTTGTCCTGAGAAAGGCTGAGCACAGGTGAGACAACAGAGGGGCTGTTTAACTCACACAGATCAGGAACAAGAAGTAAAGGGCACCAGATTAGAAGCCAGGAGACCCACAGTCTGAGCTGGGCGCCACCATGTACTATTTAGTCCTATTATCTTGAGCGCATCACAGAACATTCCTGAGCCTCAGTTTCCTTATCTGCACCTGGGATAATGATATTGACCCCACAGGGTCACTGGAGTGCAGTATCTGATACTGTCGATCTCAGGAAACATTAGCTTGACCTGAAAGAATCAGTGACAACTGGCTTCTCCGGTTCAATGTCCATCCCTCCTCTGGGCTAAGTCAAATTCATCACAACACTGGCCACAAAGAAACTGGAGGTGTCCATAATACTCTACCACTGGGTGGTGGGGTTAACCTTCTTTATGCTTTTAGATGCTTTTTAACTCTTCCCCCCATCATGAATTTCTTCTGAAATTAGGGAAATTAGAAAAGAATGGCAAAGAAGGCTGCTGTATCAAAGTCAGGGCTTCTGGAGAAGAAACTGGAAATGATTATGAATAATGAGATTTGGGATCACATTCTTCATCGCCAGCCTTGTAGAGCAAGGAAGGCCAAGTGGGCCCCACCCAACCATTGGGGGAGGTTTCAATCTTGCAGAGCATGGGGCCCTTGACTGCTCACAACACTCGAAGAGGGTTTAACTAGGACAGAGCATAAGAAATGTCACCTCCCTTGCTCTGGAAGCCATACTTCTGTTAATGCTGCCAAAAGTCACATTATCTTTTCTTTCCGCCATGCCACTTCTACCCACACTGCACTTTTGTCACCCAAAGGTCTTCTCCCTTAGAAAAGCTTTTAGTAAAGAGCTCTACACCCAACGCTTATCTAGTTGCTTTTGGGGCCCATAGGTAAGGGTGCTGATATATTCTAGCTAAATTTCCTGTTAGGGTACCCAACTTTTTTAGCCTTTCTGTGTTTTTTAGGACCCAATTCTGCACCTCTCCCTGCTTCCTGTCATCCACAAACGACAGACACATCATCCAGGGTGTTGATGAGAATGGTGGACAAGGCAGAGACCTGCACCAATCTGTACAATCTCCCTCCAGACTGAAATGGAGCCATCCTTCAACAAGTTACTAACCCCTTAGCACCAAGCTCACAGTCTCCACCATAACCCCAAGGACATCGTGAAAGGCCTGAGCAATGTCTTGCTAAAGCCCACATTTGCAAACATGTCCATCCTTAAGGGAATGGCCAAATAAAGAGCAATTTATTGGGGTAGCCAGTTAGCTCAGTTGGTTAGAGCATGGTGCTGATAACACCAAGGTTGACAGTTTTGATCCCCATATGGGCCACTGTGAGTTGCGCCCTCCTTAAAAAAAAAAAAAAAAAAAGGATAGCAACTTGTCTGTTCCCCTTCCCCAATTCCCCAATGCTGTTCCCCTCCCCCAATTCCCAAAAAAAAAAAAAAAAAAGGCAGTTTATCCACACACCAGTTTAAGCAGATGGCAAATCTGTTCATGAATATTCCTTTCTCTCCAGAGAGCATGTGCATTCTATGCAAATACACAGGGAAAAAAAGTCTGAGATAACACATGCCTAACTGATGTTATCTGAGGAGACTAGGGCTGGAATGATAATCAAGGAGATCCTTATCTGTACTTCAGTTTTTATGAGAATGCCTTCACGTTTTACATGATTCAAATACCTTTTAGAATACTCCAGGTATGTGACATCTCGGGATGTCCAGGCTCTACCAGTTTCCTATCAGTTTCCACAGAGGGAACAAGGGAAATTTAAAACAACTTGTGCTGAGTAAATACTGGTCAGTTTCCTATCTGGAAGTCAGTTTCCTATCTGGAAGCCGATAAACCATCTGTTTCACAATTTGTTCAAGGATTTTCCTTCCTTGCCCTTTAGGAAACCTGGCTCTCCACAGCTGCTCCAGCATCAACCGAGGTTTAAGGGAAACAGGTCGACAATCTCTCTGCTTTGAGACAGAATTCACGTGAACCCGACGCATGTAAGAGAGGCTACCTGGGTCATTCTGGAATGGCCAGAGCCAGGTAGCTCCCTCAAGGGGCTGGAATGAGGGTAACAATCCAAGACAGGTTTCGGGGTTTACAAACAGCATTGTCCCAGAAGCAAGGCAGCCCAGAGTGACCCTCCAGAGACATCTGGACAGAACCCCCCAAATGAAGCTGGCACATCCTCAGTGCCAGCTGGGAAGGAAACATGCAGGCAGGTCAGGCGGAGTGTGGCCAGAAACATATAAACATTCCTGAGCAGGCTCTAGACAGCTCTTTGAATCAAACACGTGTCTGAGGGGTGCCAGTCACTTCACTGCTAATGCTCAGTCCCACATGCCCCTGGGCCTCTCGGCAAACAGCCCCGGGTGGTGGTCGGCGCCCGAGTGGGGCCAGATGGACAGACAAGCCTACCAATTGCTTCAGTTAGTCAGGAAATGAGGCGGGGCTTTTTGTCTGGGTTCAGTCACTGCCATCGTCTCACATCCTTGACAATGACTGTCCCCGAGTTAGAAGTCCGATGTGCTGTGGGGAAGGGGCGTGGTAACGTAACAGAATGGTCGCTGGGCCTGGAACCTGCACCAAAGTCGCTGTATCATCAGTGAAACGACCACTCCCTAGTTTGACTTTGTGTGCTCTGAGTTTTCCTTAACCTCTGACTCCTGCTTGTACAAGACCAGAATTTCCCGTGAGCTAAACCTTTATACCTTAATCCGTCACAAAAGAGGACGGAGGAGAAAGTGCTCTCGGTAGCTTATCGCACCTCGCCAGCCCTGCGCAGAAAGATGTGGCTTTGGTTTGTTTTCATGATCAGAGACCCAGTGCTAAGGCTCAGAAAAGACGTCTGGCTGAATTAAATAAATACGGTGGCGAATGGAGGCAGAAGGGAGAGGAAGATTCTCAACGTCGTTTCATGGGACGCCCACCTGGGTTCTTGTCTACCGTTTGCTGTGAGCCCTTTGCAAGAAAATTTACAAACCCCAGAGGTCAAAATAAAATGAAGAGTTAAACTCCCTTCTAACTCTACAGAGGTGGAAGGGACAGACAGAAAGGGAGGGAACAAGGGAGAAATGGAAAATTCTCTAACAGTGCTAAGTCAATTTTTCTAGACCTGAAAAGATCTGATTGTAAAAACTATTTTCCTTGATATTTAACTTCCCTGGTGGCAGTTGGAACCCACAATCCACTCAACAGCCACAGTAAACATGGGGACCTCCACCATCACTCTCAGCTGCCTCGTCACCCTGACCTATCTGAGCACCCCTGTGAATTCCCCGGTATTGGCTGATTGGCCTCCCCCACTTGGAGAGGTCTCCTGGATTGGCCCCAGGGGATGGGGAGGCATTGCTATGGATGACAACCTTCTCTCAACCGGAAGCCTACACAACTCCCCAAATAGGAGAAGGCAAGGCCTTGGGGAGGGGGGATGATTTCTGAGAAATGTGTGGGATCTTCCAGCCGCCGTCGGCTGTACGATCCTATCACAGTGTACAGACAAGCACCTTTCAATCTCTTCTGGACAGTGGAGGGGAGCTAGAAGATGAACGGACAATGGCTCTATTTTAATTGCTGTAAGTTTGCTCCTGCTTTCTGAATTATCACAGGTGATAGACAGAGCAAAACATGGAGGCCGTTGTCGTCAGGGAGGAAAGGCCAGCAGGATACAGGACCCCTCTCTGCTCCACTGGGCCTCAGGGTTGTCCCTCACCCCAAAGCTGAAGGACCTCCCACCAAGTAGTCCCAGATTTTTAATTCAGGTGTCCACATCAGCAGGCCAACGCTGCCTCCCTCCTCGGCTTTACCACCTATTTAAGTCAGGGGTTCTAATAGCGGGGGTCAGGTCGATCAGACCCTCCTAGGACAAAGTCTTTATTTCCTCTCAAGCAAAGCTGCCTCTTTGCAAATTCTGTGTCTCCCTGAAAATAAGACCGGGTCTTATATTAATTTTTGCTCCAAAAGATGCATTTTATTCATTTATTCAAGTACAAAAATCTACATTTATTCAAATACAGTCATGTCTGGCTGACGATCTTAACTGGGGCTTATTTTGGGGTAGGGCTTATATTACGAGCACCCTGAAGATCACGCTAGGGCTTATTTTCCAGTTAGGTCTTATTTTCGGGGAAATACGATTGCTATAGGAGGCCCCACATCAAAGGGGCCCGCCGACCTCTCACCTTCATCCCAAAAGACTGCATCCGGGTGGCCACCTCTCTCCCGATTCTGCCCAGGCCAAGAATTCCCAGGGTCTTTCCACTCAGCTCTGTTCCCATGAACTGCAACCGAACAGGCAAAGATGCAAAGTCAGCACCAGGAGCGGACCTCGGGCACTGAGCCAGGTGGGTGGGGCAAGGTCAGACACTCACCTTCTTCCGATCCCATCGGCCCCCCTTCATCGATGCTGTTGCCTGGGGAATCTGCCTGCAAGGACAAACGCACAGGTTCAGGGGGCCCATGCAGATCCCCACCAGCCCAGGAAGCAGGCGTACTGTGAGGTTTGCACAGCCGCCACCTCTGACCACCATTCCCCCGGGGACCAAGCTCAGCCTGGGCCTCGCAGCTCAGGTTCAGACACACAGAGGAGGGGTGAGGTTGTGTAGCAGAGGGAGATGTTTGGCAAGACCAGACTGGGGGCCCTGGGACTACGATCCAGGATAAGTCCACCCCAGCCTCTGGGGTATCAATCAGAGCAACTGTGGGCACATAAAAAGCAACCACCAAAATCCGGGGTCTGTAGCGGTGACGAAATGGGGTGCTGAGGGACTCCGATGGCATTAAGTGCTCCCAAAGTTCAAGGATTTTAATGTTCCTGTTCCATCCAAGGCCACAACCTACAACATCTTCTACTATATCAGGAGGCAGCTGATTACTTGTTCTCCGTTGAGAATTTCTTAAGCCCCGAAGGTCTCAGGCTAGATCGGGGTGGGTGGGTGCCACAGTCCAGACACTCAGACCTTCTGTTCCGCCTCCTGTCCCCACACCAAAACACACATGCACACCACAGCCTATCGCCTCCTTGGAAACATGGATGTCTGAATCTCTGTATTTTCTGGAGGGGACAAAGGACGTTAGGGCAACGTTAGAGGTCAGAGGGTAAGATATGTCCCGTGGGATATGGTCCTCCAGGCTTCCCTGGGAGCCAAGAGGAAGAGACAAGAAGCGATGTTTAGGATATGTTTAAGGAGGACCTCCTCTATTTTAGATCCTCTTATAGGAAATGTTAACAGATCAGCTCATTTAAGGCTCAAAACAACTGCACTGTGAGGGGTAAACACCTCGCCCAACATCACGGAGCAGGAAGCAGCTGAATGACTCAAAGCGAAGAAGACACCCCCACCAGTCAGCCTCCTAAGTATTTCAATGCAGGCTTTCCTACCAGCCACAAAACAGTGAGGGGAGAGAGGAAGGAGGAGGGGGAGCGCGCACCAGTACGTAGAGATCCCAAAATTCCGTTGCTGTATTTCCACTTCTCTGACTTCTTAGAAGAATCATTTTTTTATGTCTACACCGTATGAGGACTTCCACTTGAGGGTAAGGCTGAGGGGGAGCCTGGTCTAGGATCAGAGCCCCACGGACTCATGGGTAAACTTGACAAAGCTTCAGGGGAAGACACTCCATGTGACTGCTCTGGCCCATCAGGCCCCAGTTCAGGAGGCTGACAAAATGCCTCTGACCTAGCGAGACAGAGCCCTCGCCTGCCTCTCCTGAGTTCTCTCACCTGACCTCTGCCCACCTGACTCCATGGTGTTTACCTACGATGTACAGGAGCACAAGAAATCCCCAGACCCTCCCTGTAGCTGCTGGTCATGGAACCGCCCCAGGTTCAGCACTTCAGGGTTCTCACTTGGCAGTCTGGGTGGCACCATATGGGCACAGGGCCTCGTGAGAATTAAATGGTAGCTGGCCTGACTCACAGGAGGAAAAGATAAAACGGGGAAATCTGCATTTCTTGCATTCCCTCTCCCTCTTTCCATGTCACTGCTCTTAGCAGTCTGCATGTCGCCAAGCTGAAGTGTTTCTAAGTGTCTCTGGGTCGCTTTGCTCAGGGAGTTGTAATGATTGACATACCAGAGGGATGGGCTCTGCTGAGAAGTCAGGGACTTACCTGGCCAGACAAATGATCATCCCACAGGTGAGCTCCGCAGCACTGAGGCTGTTCCCATTGGGGGTGCTAAACAGCAAAGAAAAGAGGGGACATCAGTGGGTCCTGATGCAGTATTCTCTCTCCTGTCCCAAGAGGAAGACTTGAATGCATGCTGAGCTCTCGCCCCAGCTCCATGAGCTCACCCACTCTTCATACAAACCCCACGTCACCCCTGCCCACATCCCAGAGCTGGAAGAGAGCGCTGGCGTTTTGTTTTCTGTGCAGCAACCTCCCTTACAGAAACACCTGGCCTCTCTACCGACTGGGGAAGACGTGCGTCGCCCAGTCCTTTCCTTTCTCCTCTCATTTCTGCACCTATCTGCCTAGAGGAAGGAAGAAGCACAAATCTCCTGCGTCTCCGTCATCCATCTTAACAAAGCTGTGCCCATGATGGATGAGCAAGTCTATCGAATGTAGACGTCAGCCCACTGCTCACCGACCTTCACCAAGTGGTAACAAAGCCACTAATTTTATCTTTACCTGTTTGACTTCTCCTCCTATCCTTCGACAAGTTCTGAACTGATTAAAGCTTCCTCACTCCTTCATACACAGAGCAGTGCTGCCTGTGCCCATTTTACAGAAAGGAGAAGAGAGACGGCAACCTATGAAACTATTTTTTTCTCAAAGCCTTTTTTTTTTTTTTTTGGTTTTGAAAGAATTTATTAACACACATGTTCACCCTTCTTCTTCCCCTAGTGGGTGTTTCATCTCTGGGAATGAAGGTTATACAAGGAGAAAAAGAGATTCTATTAAAAAAAGAAAGAAAAAAAAGTCACGAAAAAAGGATTCTCACAGTCTGTCTTTCCACAAGACCAGCTGGCTTCCTGGGTCCCCAGTGAACGGGATGGATGGGGACGCTGGAAAAGGTGCAGGGGCTGCAGGCTGCTGCCTCTGGGTCCAGGGCAAGAATGTCAGATGGGTCACCAGTTAACATTTCTACTGTTGGATGTTGCCCTCAGTCAGATGATGAGTCAGTTAACCCCTACCCTATAGGGGGAAGTGGAGGGAAGGACTTGAGGACAGTGAGGATCCCCAGGGAAGAGAACAGGCTTGAGGACCTAGAAGTGGACTGGGGGTAGTGTTGCCTCACCAGCTAAGTGCCAGATGGGAGTCAGAAATGAGGTCCCCACGCACTGGCAGGCTCACAAAACCTTTGCCCTACGTTTCTGCAAAGACAGCTCTCATGGAGGTCCTTGCCTCTTGGCCCTGGGGTGTGAAAGAGAAACTGGGGTCCCGGCTCCCGAGGGGTGCAGGGAAGTGAGGAAGAGAAAGAATGCAGAGTCACTCTACTAGCAAAGGTCTTGATCTGTGCAAGGGAGATAGAGTAAAAGCACAGCTAGCTACCGATCCCTGACCCCAGACAGAACAATGGAGGGGGACGGGCAGAGCTGGAGCACAGCAGACTCATAAATTCACCACCATCCTTCTGACTCCAAATCAGGCTACGGCCCTGCACACATCTGTGGGGCCGGTTTGTGAAGCATTCTGAGATTACAAACAGAGCTTCTCAATGTCAAAACCCTCGGGAAACACCAGCCCACCCCGGCCTCCATGCCTTACTTCATGACCAGCACGCCCTTCCTCGTTGCGGCCTCCAGGTCCACGTTGTCCACGCCTGTGCCAGCCCTGCCCACCACCTGGAGCTTCTCTGCTGCGTTGATGACATCCGCAGTCACCTTGGTGGCTGAGCGGACAATAAGGCCTTCGCAGTCCTGAGGCAGAAAAAGAAACATCTGGGTCCATCGAGCTCCTCTGGAAAACCTTCTAGAGCGTCTCTGACTAACGTGGGACTACATGCTGGCTGACTTTGGATATATCCAAGGGAAAGGACGGCAACGGGATGTGTGTATTGTTTTCAGAGGCTCCACCATCAGTCGGGCCTGGGATCAAACCCAAGCTACATCCCTGACAAGCTCTGAAGCTGAGCTTTTCAGCCTCCGTGACTGGGTGAGAAGAGGCAATGAGACAGGACAGGCACAGCAGCTGCTCAATGGACAGCACTTCCTCCAGGGACACCGAGCGACTCAACGGAAGAGGTGGGATGGAATTCTAGCCTGGAGGGCCCCGATGCCCGGCACACAGAAGGCGTGCAATAAACGCTGGTGAGCTGAACGAAACAATATAGGGAACAAAAGACAACACTGTGGAAAGAAAAACATTTCCTAAAATAGAGACCACAGGAAGGGGGAGAGGGGAGAAGAATTAAACTGGTCTAGAGTTGCTGAGACACCCAGGCGCTATCAGAGTAAAAATATATGTGTAAAAAAAAAAAAAAAACCTTCTGGATTTATCATAGCCCCTTTCCTAGGGCTAAGCTAGACCCCAAGACAGCCTTCTTTCGGCTTATCCAGAATCCCAGGGTGTCCTCCCAGAATAAGGATAGGATACTGTTGCCCACACACCCAGTGAGAATCCTCAGGAAATGGAGTAGGTGAACAAGCACACACTTTGCCCCAAACTGGCTCTCCCAGGTGGACGTAGCCACATGTCGTCACACAAGCAGCAAGCTGGGAATCAGGGGGCTCTAGTTCCAGGTCTGCCAGCTCCAAATCATGTACCCCCTGGTCTCCATCTATAAAATCCGAGGGTTGGGACACATGGCCTCTGGGGTCCCTCCCACATCTGATCTGACTCCCATGCGTGTAAGTCTCTGCCTTTTCCTTGGTGGAGCTCTCAGCTGGATCCCACGAAAACCTTCTCTTTTCCCTTCCCATCACACGGATCCCGGAGAGAAAAAAGCCAGTGAGCATCTGGCTCCCAGCCGAGGGCCCCACTGTATTTTACTGCGCACAAGCCCAGAAACAAGCTTGGAGAAGTTACATATGGGGGGGGGGGGGAGTGAGCGCACGCGCAGAGAGCTACTTTTCTCCACTGAGGGGAGATGAGAAATGAAGCTTACAATGCAGCAGAATTTTTAGATATGGAAGAGCCTGTAAACCCTCCAATGACTGTTTAATAGAGTTGGTTGGGGGCTGGGCCCAACCGCAGGGAGCTCAATGCAGGACCCCTCCTCCCAGGCACTCCAAGCCATTTCATCTTATGTGATTCTGAAATAGAACCTCAAAAGGTGAGGTTCAAAGAAACGTTTATAAACATCTAGCCCTTCTCTTCCTCCGTTTTTCATTTCTTCCTTCCATCTACAGGGTTCCTGGTACGGATGTATCTGGCATCAATTATGCTAGACTCTGTCAGCACAAGGTAAGTCACAGCCCCACATCTCAAGGAGCTCACAGTGACAAGACACACCAAAACTCACCATCCCGTGTGTATGGTGTGGCCTGAGTGTACAAGGCCTGGGAAGGTTGGAGGAACCAGACCTGCCAACACCATGGGACCTTGAAGGCCTCCTATACAGCAGTCTAGATAAACCAACCAGCCAATGCCTGGACAGGAAGGGAATACTGCTGTCAGTCCCACATTCAAAGCAAAGGATCCCCGCTGCCTGGCCACGCACTACCAACTTGTCAGGGCACAATAAGCTTCTCCTGCATGAAAACTTGGCCAACAACCCGGGATTCCATCACTGCCTCCCCCGATTTTTCTATCATCCGTTTCACATTTAGTTTTCCTCTCACCTGCAGTTTGCTTTCTTCGCCTGTATTTTACATACCGAAAGCAAAGATTATTTTAATGGCTGACATTCCATAGAATACGCCGTTGAATAAATGAACCCAGTGATTTGAGAGGCTCATGGAAACCTATCCTCACCATTCTCCCCACCCCATCCCACAGTCCTTCCCCAAATAGTCAAACATGTCACATGATTGAAAATCCAGTGTCAAAAATCCCTTCTCTTGATTGTGATAAGGATTAAGAGCTACATATGCGAGCACTCAAGAACTGTTTTTCTGAGCCTCCAGAACTATTAGAAATAAATTTCTGTTCTTTATCGAGTGGGGAGGGGA